ATGCGTAGGGAGACACTGGTCAGAGAAATAGCAAGCATCGAACTTAAGCTAAAAGAATCCTTTAGGAGTCAGGAATCGCGGGAAGAACTAAAAGCCATAAATGAAATCGAAAGAAACCCAAAGTATTTCTTCTCCTATGCCAAATCAAAATCGAGAACAACGTCCAGTATTGGGCCCATACTTAAACAAGATGGGTCCTACACAGATGACAGCAAGGAAATGAGTGAGCTACTCAAGTCCCAGTATGACTTCAGTTTTTAGCAAGCCGCTAACCAGACTGAGAGTCGAAGATCAAAATGAATTTTTTATGAGAGAGCCAAAAAATTTGATTAACACAAGCCTATCCGATGTTATCCTGACGCCAAATGACTTCGAACAGGCGATAAATGACATGCCCATGCACTCTGCCCCAGGGCCAGACTCATGGAACTCTGTGTTCATCAAGAACTGCAAGAAGCCCCTATCACGAGCCTTTTCCATCCTGTGGAGAGGGAGCATGGACACGGGGGTCGTCCCACAGTTACTAAAAAACAACAGACATAGCCCCACTCCACAAAGGGGGCAGTAAAGCAACAGCAAAGAACTACAGACCAATAGCACTAACATCCCATATCATAAAAATCTTTGAAAGGGTCCTAAGAAGCAAGATCACCACCCATCTAGAAAAACCCCTCAGTTACACAACCCAGGGGGAACATGGGTTTAGAACAGGTCGCTCCTGTCCGTCTCAACTATTGGATCATACGACAAGGTCCTAAATGCACTAGAAGACAAAAAAGAATGCAGATGTAATATATACAGACTTTGCAAAAGCCTTCGACAAGTGTGACCATGGCGTAATAGCGCACAAAATTTCGTGCTAAAGGAATAACAGGAAAAGTCGTCGATGGATCTATAATTTTTCCCCATAACAGAACAATCAACCAAATTTTTCAGTGGGGCTGCAAAAACATATGAATTAAACGATAGAATTTCAATTCCAGATATGGTAAACATGAGGAAATTAAATTTTCACAAGTACAAAACAATTCTGGCCACAAAATAAGCAAACCCCAACGTAAAAAGACCTGGAGTGATCATGTCGGAGGACCACCTTAAAGGACCATAACATTGACAATCCATCTGCTAAAAAAATACGGGATGGATAAAAAAACCTTCAAAACTAGGGGGGCCAAGCCCATGATGACACCTTTCCAGGTCATTTGTTCTATCTAGGCGGGAAATATTGCTGCACACTAACAGCCCCTTTTAAAGGCAGGTAAAATTTCCCGACCTAAAAATGTACAAACTTTCACGGCGCGCAAAACGGAGATAAAACACCTCAATTAGGGGGAGCGCTTGAGGTTCCAAAACCTTACCCCCCGGAAACCAGGGGGGAGAGATACATAATTTTTAAACACCTGGGAAAAACCTAGAGGGACTAGTACCGAACTTGCACATGAAAATCACTACAACAAAAGCAAAAAACTTGGGAAAGGGTGCCCACCCCCCCAAAGAAAAGCAGGGGGGTCCTACCCCTTAAAGACCAACAATAAGTGTCAGGGGTGGGGGAACTGTTCCCAAATGCTCCCCCAAAACATAGGGGGGTTACCAACAGATCCCGGCAGTCTTCAAACGGGACTGGGCAAGCACCAAAGTCAGTTCCTGTCACCGGGCTGTGGCCGACGTTGGTTGCGTGCACCACAGCAACAGCTGGTTATCAGGCCTGATCCACCAGGGGGCCTGGGCACAGACTGGGGGCCCCGGGGATTTTACCCCCTCCCCTCCTCCCGGGAAAATCCAGGGAAACTCCACTTAAGAGCCCCTTCCCCCCCCTCCCCCCCCCCCCCAACCTAAACAACACGGATTAACATTTGCCTTGAAAAAATGAATTCTGTGGTTCTTGAGACTCTCAAGACATTCCATAAGAAAAAGAGAGAGATAATGTAAATTAGAAAGAGAGAGATGTTCCCCCTACAACGAAAGCGAAGAGTCACAGAGCTGCGATGGGGGGAAGATATTGAATATGAAGGAGGCATAGCATGAAATTTCAAAAACGAAATTAAACTGAAGGAATCTTACAGAGAAAGAATCCAGAAGAACTAAAAGCCATAAAAAAAATTAAAAAAAAAAAAAAATACTATGCCAAATCTAAGGGGAAAATTACATCCAGTATTGGGCCCCAGCTTACGTGGATGGGACATACACAGATGAGTCCCAATATGACTCAGTGTTCAGCAAGCCACTGCCCAGACTGAGGGTCGACAAACCAATGAATTCTTTACGAACGAAACTCACAATTTGGTCATCTCAAAAATCTCGGATATTATCCTAACTCCACTAGACTCTGAAGAGGCAATGAATGACATGGCCATGCACTCTGCCCCAGGCCCAGACTTATGGAACTCCGCGTTCATCAAGAATTGCAAAAAGCCCCTATCACGTGCCTTCAGCATTTTATGGAGAGGGAGCATGGACACAGTGGTCATCCCACACTCAAAACAATATGAAGTTCAACGAGGAGAAATTTCAACTACTCAGATATGGGAAACTTGAAGAAATTAAAATGTATCAGCGGGTATACGACAAATTCTAACGATACAATAGAGCGGAAAAGTAATGTGGAAGATCTGGGAGTGATATGTCAGAGGATGTTACCTTCAAAGACCACAACAATGTATCTACCTCATCTGCTAGGAAAATGATAGGATGGAAAATGAAAACCTTCAAAACTAGGGACAACACCAAGCCCATGATAATTTTCTTCAAATCGCTTGTTCTCTCGAGCTGGAATACTGCTGTACACTAACGGCCCCCTTGAAGGCTGGCGACACTGCAGACCTGGAGAGTGTACAAAGAACTTTCACAGCACACATAAGTACGATAAGGCCCCTAAATTACTGGGAACGGTTGAAGGTCCTTGATCTCTATTCCCTCGAACGCAGGTGAGAGATATACATGATAATATACACTTGGAAGGTCCTGGAGGGATTGGTACAAAACTTGCACACGAAAATCATTCCACATGAAAGCAAAAGACTCGGCAGGAGATGTAACATTCCCCCGATGAAAAGTAGGGGCGCCACGAGTACACTGAGAGACAACACAATAAGTATCCGGGGCCCAAGACTGTTCAATTGTGTCCCAGCATACATAAGGGGGATTACCAATAGACCCCTGGCTGTCTTCAAGAAGGCACTGGACAGGCACCTAAAGTCAGTACCTGACCAACTGGGCTGTGGTTCGTATGTCATCTTGTGTGTGGCCAGCAGTAACAGCCTGGTTGATCAGACCCTAATCCACCATGAGGCCTGGTCTCAGACCAGACCGCGGGGGCGTTTACCCTCCTCCTCCATCCTCCCATATAATGAGCTTCCCTCCTCCCTTAAGAGCTTCCATCCTACCCATCTCTCCCATATTAAGAGCTTCCTTTCTCCCCCTTACTCCCACATTAAGAGCTTCCCTCCTCTCCCTTCCTCCCACATTAATAGCTTCCCTCCACCCCTTCTACATTAAGAGCTTCCCTCCACCCCTTTCCTCCCTCATTACCTGGAGTTTACCTGGAGAGAGTTTCGGGGGTCAACGCCCCAGCAGCCCGGTCTGAGACCAGGCCTCATGGTGGATCAGGGTCTCATCAACCAGGCTGTTACTGCTGGCCACATGCAAGCTGACGTACGAACCACAGCCCGGTTGGTCAGGTACTGACTTTAGGTGCCTGTCCAGTGCCTTCTTGAAGACAGCCAGGGGTCTATTGGTAATCCCCCTTATGTATGCTGGGAGGCAATTGAACAGTCTTGGGCCCCAGACACTTATTGTGTTGTCTCTCAGTGTACTCGTGGCACCCCTGCTTTCCATTGGGGAAATGTTGCATCTCCTGCCGAGTCTTGCTTTCATGTGGAGTGATTTTCGTGTGCAGGTTTGGTACCAATCCCTCCAGGACCTTCCAAGTGTATATGTATTATCACGTATCTCTCTCGCCTGCGTTTGAGAGAATACAGATCAAGGACCTTCAACCGTTCCCAGTAATTTAGGTGCCTTATTGTACTTATGTGTGCCGTGAAAGTTCTTTGTACACTCTCCAGGTCTGCAATGTCGCCAGCCTTCAAGGGGGTCGTTAGTGTACAGCAGTATTCCAGCCTCGAGAGAACACGCGATTTGAAGAGAATTATCATGGGCTTGGCGTCCCTAGTTTTGAAGGTTCTCATTATCTATCATTTTCCTAGCGGATGAGGTAGATACATTGTTGTGGTCTTTGAAGGCGAGATCCTCTGACATTATCACTCCCAGGTCCTTCACATTACTTTTCCGCTCCATTGTATGGTTAGAATTTGTGGTATATTCTGGCACATTTTTTATTTCTTCAAGTTTTCCATATCTGAGTAGTTGAAATTTCTCCTCGTTGAACTTCATATTGTTTTGAGTGGCCCATTTAAAGATTTGGTTGATGTCTGCTTGGAGTCTCGCGGTGTCCTCGATGCATTACGAGATTCCCTCCACCCCCTTCCTCACACATTAAATGATATCCAATTTTTCTTTATCTAAATCATTTGATACTCTCATAACGTCAGTCCAGAACTGAAGCTCAACTACGAGCTTTTTAACTGCAGAATCGTGGCCCCTCTCTCTTTTTCTCTATATACTCTTCCCTCTAAGAGATTCCCTCCACCCCTTTCCTACCACATAAAGAGATTCCCTCCTCCCCCTTCCTCCCACATTAAGAGCTTTCCTCCTCCCCCTTCCTCCCACATTAAGACCTTCCCTCCTCCCCCTTCCTCCCACATTAAGATCTTCCCTCTTCCCCCTTCCTTGCTTAGTGTGAATTCACAGTTACGCAATGTTCAATTTGTATCAGTAATTCTTTACAATATACATTTGCCTTATGTGATAAGTACAATTCACAAAATCTATAAAACATTTTCAATATGAAGAATTAAGTGTTGAGGGCCTGATTGAGTTTAATTAATAAGACTGCTATGGGTCAGAAATGCATCAATTGCATAAAGCATTTAATCATATTTAATGTTTTATTTTTTTTGATGAACTTTGTATTTTGCAAGAGTGATGAAGAATACGTCAACACCACTGATGGCTCCTATTTCTTCATATTCGCAGAATTCCAAGATTCACCTGAGAAGACAATGGCACCAACAAATTTGGCTGTCTCAGCTGATCATGAAAAGACTCTGCTAAAGACCAGAGCAAAAGACATTTTCAGCCGACGACATAAAACTGAAGAGGGTCTCGAAATACGAAAACTGGAGATGAATGTGGAACACAAAAATGATAAGGATAAGGTGCAGAAGATGTCTCTTGGACAGAAAACAAATAGGCCAACAAAGGTGATTCTCTTAGTGGGTGCCACAGGTACTGGAAAGACAACTCTCATCAATGCCATGGTGAACTATATATATCGGATTGACTTCACTGACGACTTTAGACTGGTTCTTATTGACGATAAAAATGCCCCTAAGCGCTCCCAGGCAGAGAGTCAGACAGATCTGATCACAGCTTATGCATTCTACCAATTACCAGGAATGCCCTTCGAGTACAATTATGTGCTCATTGATACTCCAGGTTTTGGAGACACCAGAGGCATTCAGCGTGATCGTGATATGATGAAACAGCTTGAAATGTTTCTGAAGCAAGATTATGGGATTGATCAGGTTGATGGAGTTGGTTTTGTTACTCCTGCTTCTGCTGCAAGATTGACTCAGACTCAGAGGTATGTCTATGATGGCCTTTCTTCAATGTTTGGTAAAGATATTAAGGATAATATTTATATTATGGCTACATTTGCTGATGCAAAGACTCCTCCTGTGTTAGATGCACTTAAAGAAGCTGAAGTACACTACTCTGGATTTTACAAGTTCAACAACAGTGCACTCTATGCTCGTAACACGTGGAGATGGGGAAGTAGTGATGATTTGATGATGAAAATTCAGCATACATTTTTAAGTTGTCTGGGAGATGGGTTTAAAAAAGCATGACAAATTTTTTTTAAATTAGGAAAA